CTAGGAAAGGTATTTTTTGGCTAAATGGTAGAGGGCCAGCCAGTAGTTAAGAATATATTGATCCACTTGGAAACTGCCTACTCCTCAATACTTTCACTTTCAGTCTCGACAATAGATTTAAGTAAAGATATTTAGCATATATCTTGCTGACTGTATTAGACAAGCTAATGGGTCTATAATTGGCAGGATCAACTTGCTTTCCTTTGTTGTTGTGCAATGTGATGACAATAGCATTGCTCCAATCACTAGGAAAACATGCTGAGTTGTTAGTATTAGTAATGGGGCAGCCAGCCCTGGAGCCTCTCAGTCCTTGTTGTCCCTTAGTAATTCCATGGAGGATAAAATATTCTCCTGAGACTTTTAGATTTTAGTTGAGAGATAAAATCCTTGACTTCAGATGTGTGCATAGGAAGCTTAGTCATAAAGAATATTTCAAGTCACAGCTGGATTGTCTAATGAGGCCATTGTAAAAATACTCTGGAAATAGTTCTCGCCTGGTTCTGTAGTATCTGGCAGATCAGACTACAGTCTCTCTCATTAAGGGAGACATTAATTAATCAAAAAGGTTTCTTGAGTTTAGCAATTACAGTTAAGCACTCCCATTGCTCTCTCATAGGTCCCCTTTTCTTTGTTTAAGAGTGGTTTTAAAGTCTTTTTTTGGCTCTATAAATGATGAGAGCTTTTCTGAGGAATTATCACTGTAATTCAAAAAGTATTTACTACTGTGAGCAAGGCATTTTTCACTTTAGTATAACCAGTGTCAAATTAGAGTTTGGATTTAATATGGGAAAGGCTAGTACAATCTGAGAATTGTGATAAAGGAACCTGACAGAATAAAGATATGTTAACCGTTTTCATTAAGAGTCTGCTAGGCAGAGCTGAGAGTGAATTAAAGAAGACTCCAAGTTCAATGGGCCAAGCAGTCTCCAGAGTTATAACTCTGGAGAACCATTGATTCAGAACATGCCTTCTCTTCTGTAACCAAGCCAATACAGTAGTGGGCTTTTTCTAGGACCTTAGTATTTGCTTTAGAATCCACCAGGCAAATTACAGGAAGATGATTGCAGGTGAAGTGAGTTCCTATACAAAAATGAGTTATTAAGTGAACTTGGAACAAGATATCAATCACACTGACCATCTTGGAGACCCCCAAATTTAATTCTGTATTAAGTGTATCCCCTGGTAGATTGAGAAAGTACAAATTACCGGTATCTGTTAACTGAGCCAATCAAAAACTGCACACCTCAGATGTTAATTGTATTTTGATCTGGAAATGTGAAGTATACAATAAAATTCATTGCATCCCTAACTTAAACTACAGTATGTTATTTTTATATTGTATTTTTTGCCTATTACTCCGGAGTTGCAGTTTAATGCCTCATTAATTAACAAATAGTTATTTCAAACTCACTGAACTCCATAGGGCTTAATTCCATGGAAACACATATATTATTAGGTGCTAATTTCATTTTTTACATTTTACAATTTCTACTTCAAATTTGAAATTTTTTTCCTACAATTTGCATTTATTTTATATTACAATAATACCACTGCATTCTGATCTTCAGAAAACTAAGCTTGCATGGGCAGAGAATCTCCATTCACTGATTAACTGTGTAAAAGTCCTCTGGCCATCTGGAGTGTAATGACTTTTTCACTAATCTCTTACAAATTCAGGTATGAAATTAATGATCGACAGTCTGTTACCATTTCAATGGCAAATTAAAATGGAGTGTTGAAAATGAAAAAAACAGCTGACTAGCTCAAGGCAAGTGGATCTTCGGAAGATCTCTTTTCATCAGCAATTATTTCCATTCTTCTTTCTGTTCCATTTGCTTAAAAACATTGAGCAAGGAACTGGGGCTAATTATTACTAAGAAAGGTCTCCATTAATGCAAAGGGCATAGAGAATGGCCTTGCAGGAAAGCAGGAAGATCCATTACTAAGGCAATGATCAGACAAGAATGTCTTAAGCCCATTCCAAGAAAGTAATTTAAGAAAATGTCTCAGACAGCCTCTCCCAAAATCAAACGAAGAGAAAAGTGAGGAAGAAAAAAAAGCATATTCACTCTTGCTACTGTTCTTATAACCTTATAATAATAGTAATTTTAACATTCATGACTTTGGTTTCCTTGTCTGGTCTATCCTATAGGCTAGGGATGTCAAACTGCCGGCCCATTGGCCAGATGCATCATCCGGAAGCCGTGCCCACCCCATTGCCAGCAATGGCAAAACTGTCCCGATACATTGCGTGACGTCACGAGTTTGACATGTCTGCTATAGGCCAACATCTGGATTCTTGATGTCTCCATTTAAGGGCTCAGAAGATGATCGATGATGTACAAGTTTTTGTCTGTGGCAAGAGCTGCTGCCAGACAGAGTAGGAACTATTAAGCTACTAGATAAAGAAATGGTCCAGATTAAACTTACTTCAAAATCCTTGTCTCTACCAAAGAGAGAGGACTTGAACAGGGACAGGGATATATAGATTTTATTAGTGCAGGATCCGATCTGGATTGGTCACTAGGTCCAGAGATTTAGTGTTTTGAGCTTTTGGACTTGTGCTGGAGCCTCCATCCTCAGGGAACTTCTCTCTAGCAGAGTATGTTTGTTAGTTTTTGGAGATGCCAATTTTCATTTAAACAAGAACTTGAAGGATCAGTCCTCTTTCCTTCCTTTGTTTTTCACTTATAAGGGAGAAAAAAGTAAATCACCACCACATACACAGAAAAATATACAGAATATCAGCAATGTCCACCATCCTGCTGTACAGTCATCTAATTCTCAGGATGTATGTTGATCACACTGCCCAAATTTCCGAAAATGATCGGGCTGAATTTTATAATATTACATTTTACATTCCAAAGACCAAAAGAAAAGCTTTTAAAATCCTGCTCTCTGCAAGCACCCCAAAAAAGCAGTTTTATACACAAGTTGTCACAGCAGGTGGCAGTTCCTAGTCAACCTTGGCTGATCTCAAAAAACAAAACAAAACAAAACAAAAACTCTGAACAGGCTCAGATCCAGCTAATAGTTGGGTGGGAAACTATAAAGAAATTCCAGTGCTTTAGCTAGTCTGGAAAATTGAAGAAACACCTTGCAAATGTTTTTGTTAAGAAAACTACAGAGAAATGTCCACATAATTACTACAAGTCAAGCCCAACTCCATCCAAATGAGTTGTATACTGCAAATTTTCCTCTTGTTTCTTGGAAGGATTTATTCAACAAAGACAGAATACAGTATATTTTTATTTTCCTTCCAGTAATACTTCGCAAAAACAGACACTGGAGTGAGGCCCAAAGGAAGGAATAGTTGAGTGAAATATTCTTGAACTGAAAGCTGCATAACCTGTTGCCATTTTGGGCGATCATATTATTTCTTGCAATATGCAGTGCTGCCCTGAATTTATTTCAAAGGTGGGAGTTTTTGAGGGCTGTCAGACGGCTTTTACTGTGCAATCCTTTTTACTAAAGTATCAAATTTTACAGGATGAATCAGACAATAGTTTTTCTCTATAGTGCTGCAATGTTTCCCAGCACTAGCATTTTAGATAGGAAAAGTAGAATAGCTGTGCAATGATTTATATAATGCATAACTCATATATTGTTTGATTTTTTCATTAGATAGTTTAAAAAGTAATAAATACCTTAAAAACCATGAGAATAAAGCCAGCAGAACATTAACCAATTAATTGGAATCATTGGGGAATTATGGATAGTGTTGAACTGCAAGGTCAGTCATTTTTGGTGCAAATTCTGATAGTTTCAGCCCCAGTATATTTCCAAACAGCTGTGATGTTATTTTAGTGGCAATTGAAAGAAAAGGGGGAAAAAACGGATTGGGGTATCAAAACATCCTGTGCCCAGAAAGTGCCATTAAATAAATAAAAAAAAAGAGCTTGAAGATGCACTCTTTACTTTAAAAGAAAGTTTGGATGCATGGTGCAGTTACTCACCAGGGAGGAAAAAGCCCTCTGCAAATACATCCTACTTGAGATAAGCAAATATTGAGACAAGTTATGGGTCTACGTTTGAATAACTGCACTGTGTGGATCAAAGATCCAGTGGTGAATTAAATATCCATCTACATCCAGGGTTCTTTTTCACTCCTCCTTCTCCCCATTCTTCCCTCCCTCATGGATACCCTCAATCAACTTTTATGACTATTTCAAGGTTGAAAGAATGGAAAGTGGGATGCAGGGAAGGAAGATAATCTGTTCTCCTGCCAGATGCTGTTCATTGATGGATGGATCCCATTCAGTATAAGGCTCAGTCTTCAAGGCATTACATACATTCTGAAAATTGTATTGTTTTCCAGGCAAGGCATTCATACCAATACTATTGGTAGAACTTACCTATTATAGAACTAAATTTCTTTTGTGTTTTAATCATGTACATTTCCCCCCAGTCCATGGTGAAAACCACATTGCATTGTCACAGGAGTTGACAACCTTTTAAGGCACCAGGAACCATTATCTGATAATGCTTGTGTCCTTCAAACAAATTGAAACACAAGCAAAAAAAAAAAAAAAAAAAACAACTCAAACTAGCTGTTAAAAATACCTTACATGATATATTTTTCCCTTAAATTACTAGACTTAAAGTGAGAATAGTTGAAATCCCAGAAATCTTGCAATCTTTCAAGAGTTCATCTATGGATTGATCTTCAGTCTGGTGGATGTTTTCCAAAGGTCTAGGGGTGAGAGGCCTCTTTTGAGGGCCATGTTTCCATCAGAACACTATTTACATTATAGTAACTTTGAATTAGTATACAGTATTCTTATTGTAACTCCATCCTGCTGAAATACCATACATACAGTACTAGAAGCAGGTACTATATCCCTGCTGCACATTTGTGGGAATGGTGATCAGTTAGTCCAGACATGTACAGAAAAATAATAGCATGTAATATAAAACAGAAAACAAGCTTGTAACATTTGACCTTACCACTGGGTCAAAAGTTACACTTTCTCAAAAATGGTTTTGCAAATCTTTTTCAGAGCTGATAGATACACACCTTAGCTGGATACAAAACATTTTATGAAACACAAAGGCTGTGCTTTTTTGATCCAAGCAAACAAAGTCCCAGGTAATTTACTTTTTTTTCTGACTTTTATCTAGCTTCAGTTCTTCTTAAGCTTTCTTTGACTTGGCTGGTCCTCTGTAAATGTCTTTTTGGTTTGTTGCTCAGTTGAAAATCTAATTGCAGAAACATCTAATATTTGGTGGGAACAAAAAATGCACTTGGGTAGGGTTGAATGGTGGCTACATGTTTTCTTTCAAAATGATTGAAGTATTTGAAAACATGGTATTTGTTTTTAAATGATTAGGAAGTGAAGTTTGCCTAATACAATATTTCACATACATGTTGTCTATTGCAAAAAATGAATGTATTCTTCTCTTGCAATGCCTAGCACACCTCTCTTCTGCACCGGACTCTTTCCATATCTACACTAAAATATTTTTTACATAAACCAGTAATATTCTGTGATAGTCTGTACTTAGAACAAGAATTTGCTTTTGCAGGTCTCTTATCTGCATTTCTATTGCAAAGATCAGAGAGAAGAACATCTCATTAAAAGAATATTAGCTTCTTCTTTGTCAAAGATTGGAGGCTTGATCTTGTTCTAGAATTCTGACTTGTCCCAGGTGGTCTATAAATTAGTAATTGTTATTATTGATTAATCAACACTAACTATATCCCCATTTCAATATAATCTTTGACTTATTTGGAAACCCTTTCAACAATTTCTTACAATTCATGGTCATGTGCTCTGGTTCCCAAGCGGGGTGTTAAAGACCCCAAAACAATAGTAAATAGCATCAAATCTTTAGGGAGAAGTAAAAACACAGCCTTAATAAATCCATAAGCCCAAAATGTTGATTCAACTCAATGTTAGCCATATTATGCTTCCACTACCTTTTCAGAAGACCAGCTAAAAGGTAAAAAATGACCATTGGCTGGGTCCCTGCAACTTAAGCATTTCAGATATGTGCGCCCCATACTTTCCCATCTCTTTTGATAAAAGGGTTTATGTAATATCCCCTCTGTTGGAGAAGACTCTAGAGCGGGGGTAGGCAACCTCTGCTCTTTTATGACTCATGGACTTCAACTGGGAGTTGAAGTCCATGAGTCATAAAAGAGCCGAGGTTGCCTACCCCTGCTCTAGAGAGTCCCTTGGACTGAGAGGAGATCAAATCAGTCAATCCTTAAGGAACTCAACCCTACCTTTTTTGGAAGGACAGATACTGAAGCTGAACCTCTAATACATCAGCCACCAAATGAGAAGAGAGGATTTATTGGAAAAGACCCTGATGTTGGGAAAGACTGAAGGCAAAAGAAGAAGAGGATGAGATGGTTAGGTAGTGTCATTGATGCAATGAACATGAATTTGGACAAACTAAGGGAAACCGTAGAGGGCAGAGGGGCCTGGCATATGGGGGCACAGAGTCAGATATGACAGCGAGTGAACCATAACAACAAATATCCCCTCTTCCACTATGTCATGGATTCATAGCTGGTTCCCATTATTGAATCTAATTTGGCTCTTAGAGTCTCCTTTGAAAATCTGGGTTTATTGTAGCTTATTTCAGGGTACATGACCAAGTAAAGGTAATGGATACTACTAACAAAGGAAAGGAGAAATTGTTCTGGATTGAGGATGACAGTGCTTATTTTCTAAGTTGGCACCCACTTAGTAAATAATGGCCAAACATCTTTTGACTTTCTACTTTTATTGAAGGTTTAGAGAGCAGGAGATCCACATTTACATAACTTGTAGTGAAATATCTTTGAATATCTATTGTAAAGTGGGAGGTAACTACAACACAAAGACTTTAGAGAAAGTAGCATATCCAACTAGTGATGGTGAGAAATGGAACTCAGGGTCACACAGACCATTAGCTCTCATGTTCAGTCTCTGCATTAATAATTGACTAGAACAAAACCTACAATTTAAACTTTGCAGCAGTCTCCAGACCAGTCTTTCTCAACCTCACAGTCATGGACTTCATTTCCCAGAATTCCATGCAGTGGAATTCTATGCAGAATTCATTTCCCAGAATTCTATGCAGGCTGTAGAATTCTGGGAACTGACCTCTAGATATCTGGAAGCCGGACAAGTTAGAACAAGAGAAATCTCAACTCTGTTCTCACAATCAGGTAAAACAGGTAGCCCTCAATTTACAACAGTTCATTTAGTGACCATTCAAAATTACAACATTACTGAAAAAGTGACTTATGACATTTTTTTCACCCTTATGACCCCTGCAGCATCCCCATGGTCACATGATCAAAATTCAGATGCTTGGCAACTGGCTGATATTTATGACAGTTGCAGTGTCCTAGGGTAACGTAATTAACTTTTGCAACTTTCTGATAAGCAAAGTCAATGGGAAAACCAGATTTACTTAACAACTGTGTTACTAATTTAATAAATGCATGATTCACTTAACAACTGTAGCAAGAAAGGTCATAAAATGGGGCAAAACTCAATTAACAAATATCTCACTTAGCAACAAAAATGTTGGGTCTAATTGTGGTTGTAAGTCAAGGACTACCTGTAATATATGAACCCCCAGTATTTTATGTTGAAGAGATTAAGATTATTTTCCAGGGTTGTGGTTGAAGCCATATTGGCTATTCCATCTAAAAACTATTCCATGTAAAAGAAAATGAAACTTTAACTTAAATGTCAAAACAAATGCATGGCATAGGGGTTGAATTGTGTGCCTATGGCTGTATTCTAGGACACAGGCTGTACTTGGGTACACCTCCACTTTCAGAATCTGTTGCCCACAACTCTGTAATTCTATGTATACATGCACGCCCCATTATCTAAACCTCTGATTATCTTAATCTTTTGGATGTCTTCCCAGCCATTTGGCTACACGAGGGCACATTTTTATTAGATATTTACAAGAATCAAAGAACAGTATTCAGGCCTCAGGAATTTTTGGACTATTTACCACCATCTCCCCATTCCCCTCTGTTGCAAAAGCAGAATGAGTCATAATAAGCTCTAGATATCTGCTGTGCAATCATCAAAAGTACATAAAAATATGAGTGGATTGGAAAAAGTGAGTCTGGAACAGTTGTTTATCCTTTCATCTGATATTAAGACCACTGAGACAGGGGAGACTGACATGAATGTGCAGCGGGTTAAAAAATAGCAAGATTTCTCACACACACACTGAAAAACCACACAAATAATATGTAGACTTAGAGGAGGCATTCACAATTAGAACTAAAACAAAGTAGGCAAAAAAAAAAAGATGGGCAAACATTTCACAGATTACTCTGATACAGAAGAAGTTGAAGGTGATCTCAGAGTATCCAAATAATAGAGTTGGAAGGGATCTTAGAGGTCCTCTAGTCTCAAGCAGGAGACCCTATACCATTCCAGACAAATGGTTGTTCAGTATCACATTTAGAATGGTCACTGAAATAAAGAATGTATAATTAATGAAATAACTTTGTAGGTTTATTAATTTTAAAAACTGATTCTGTGGAAATCCCACTGGGAAATCTAAATCTAAAAATCTAAAAAATACAGTACCTCAAGAGGAGGAAATGAAAAATTTGTTTCTATATCATGGCCAAGAAAAATACATGAAGGTGGTGTTATGTAGTCACCAAATACAATCTTCCCTTGAGGAAAGGTTTTACTTAAAGGAAGTCAAAAAACAAAACACACTTTTTTTTGTAGCTTAAGATACATTGCATTTCTAGGATGCATGACCTGCCTAGTATATACCCACACTGAGCTGAGCGTATAACAGCACCAACATTAATTACACCAGCAACAGCTTCCTTAATGGACTCTCTTGCAAGTCTATCTGTTGATCTGCCCATCTATCCGTCCATCCATCCATCCATCCATCCATCCATCCATCCATCCATCCATTTCACGAGAGTGAGACTTTTCCAATGCAATTTGCCAATTTGTAGAAAAGTGTACATTAAAGAAAGTTCTTTATCAAACTATTCATATTGAAAAATCTTAACAGGAAATTTGTGGAAACCAAGTGTATCAGGCAATATTGCAAACACAAATGCACACAGGACTCTGTTTACCAATTTTTAAAGCAAATTTTTTTTTAAAAAAATTCTCAGGTTCAATAAATGGAAGTTGAGAGCTCGACAAAAATGATTGATGGAAATCTTGCCTCTTGAAATGAACTTGTTTGCCCATTCTGATTCTCTGCCCCACTGTGGAAATGCATGCAGCAACCTCTTTGAAGATTATCCTGTTCTGATGTTCTTGTTTCTGCAGGCTAATAACTTTTCAAGGCTCAGGGGTTGTTCATAGGATAAGGTAAAAAAGAGATAAAAGAAAATCAAAAGGGGGACAACTGCAATGCAATTGAAATTCTGCCCCTTTTTCATATGCAACATATGTTAAAAAAATAACAGGCAGAGTTTAGTAGCACATTATATATAATATCTATAGTGGCACCATTTTTACTTTTTTGACCACATACTGCAACCCCTCCCCTCCCCCTGGCTGATGTCTAAGGTGCATGGCTTTATCAGCACAACTAGTCCTGGACCTACTACCACAACTGAGCTCAAAATTTCTGTTGCTAAACGAGACAGTTGTTAAATGAACTCTGCTCCATTTTACGACCTTTCTTGCCACAGTTGTTAAGCGAACCTTGGTAGTTGTTATTAGCAAGACTGTTAAGTCAACCTGGCTTCCCCATTGACTTTGTTTGTCAGAAGGTCTCAAAAAGTGTTCACATGACCCGGGGACACTGCGACCATCATAAATATGAATCGGTTGCCAAGTCACTTTTTTCAGTGCTGTTGTAGCTAAATGAACTGTTGTAAGTCGGGAACTGCCTGTACCATGAGATTTCTGCCTCATAAAGTTCAGTGCAATTAATTTAGAGAGTTTTTCCTGATTCAGATTTAGAATGCTGATCTGCTTTGCCACTGCTGCTTCTCAATGCTGCCAGCCAGCCCCTTTTTGGCTGTCACGCTGCTTTTGAACAGGAAAAATGTCGCATTTGCAAACAGGTTGATTTCTTTAAATAAAAATGATATGTCCCTACAATGCATAGAGCTTTTTTTCATTCTCGGTACTTAACCATGTGAGCAAATGTGCTGATAAATAAAACAGCTTGTAATTTCATCCTACTTGTTTACACAAAGGAAATGACCCACCATTCCCCTGTAAAGGTTGGTGCCCACCTTTTTTTTTTTTACCTAAATGCTATTTTTAGCAGTCGAAAGACCAAAAACTTTCCATTGAAGATCTGCTCTTCTCATTTCCTGGGTAAAGAAAACAGGAAGCCTTTAAAAAAGAAAAAGAAAACAAGAAAAAGAAAAAAAGGTATAGGCTTCAGTCAGGGTTTCTCCTGAAACCAGAGCCATGTCACCCCCTGCTGACAATTCCAGGACATTGCAAGACTTTAGAAGCCAGCAATTTCAACTAATACGCTGTAAGGCCTAGCCTTGTTTTAAAAACCCACAATTAATTAGATGTCTTAAGTATAATCGAAGACATATATATCCTGCATATTGATTAAATCTTAGAGCACTTACCAACTTACAACCCTAATGTGGTACGATGCATTGATGATGTTTGAGGAACAATATTGTATATTAATTACACAGTTACATTAACAAGTGTGGATAAGAACACAGTCTAAAATGCTTCTCTTTTTTTTCCCAGATAGTTGTAAGAGAAAAGCTGGGAATATTTTTGAGTTCATTGATTTTAAAAAAAATATTTTTCCATATACATTTTCAACCATGGTTAAAACCTTTAAAAATGCACCATTGTTTTCAGGGTTATGGTTTGTTTTTAATTGAGAAGGCTGCATCTCTATGTTTCCTTCTTTCTATGTGCAGTACAACAGGTAATAAGTAACATACTGAACAGTTACAAAATCTATAGAACGAGCAATATTCTTAATAATCATTACAACTTGAAAATGACCTGCTCAAACTGAGTCCAGGTTTAATCCTCAATATACAACCAGTGGCTTAGCAATTGTTCGGAGTTACGACTGACCTCCCCAGATCTAGTTACGATCCACATTCAATCCACATGCCTCTGTGGTCACACAATCGCACTTAGCAACTGACCATAAATGTGACCACCATTTATAATGTTTTTTGCTAGAAACTGGCAATTACTTCCTATTTCTGACAAAAGAAACAATCATTGCAGACAATGGATTCATTTAACGACTGCTACATTTGCTTAACATCCCCAGTGATTCCCTTAACAACTGCAGCAGAAAGGTTGCAAAACCTCATGAGGTAACCCACTTAACGACCAGCATAATTCTGGGCTCAGTTACAGTCGTAAGTCAAGGAATACCTGTGTATGAAGCAAGTAGTGCTTTTGAGTCACTCCCAGACTGGCCCAAATGTGGTCACACTATTATAGGGAGAATTTGTCATGGCCATTGTTCCTTCAGATGATTGCATCACATTCCACCGCAGAGATATCTAAGTCAGGGATGGACAACTATAGCAACTTTATGATTTGTGGACTTCACTTCTCATAATTCCTAAGTCAGCCAACTTTATGACCAGTGGACTTCAACTCCCAGAAAACCTGAGACAGCTGGCTCAGGAACTCTAGGAGTTGAAGTCCATAGGCCATAAAATTGCCATAGTTGCCCATCTCTGATGTAAGCCCATCCTGAAGCACCAATGATCCTATCAGTTAATTTTCATGCTTACTGAGACCAGAAGGTAGACAATCTCACAGTCTGATTCCAGAACATTCTGGTCTCCACTGTGACATTCTCAGAAATATGCCAGAATGTCCCTGCCCCTTACAGAGCCATTTTATTGTTTTCTAGAATTTATTATTCTGGAATAGAAAGTGGTGCAGAGTGTTCTGGACATGGAGGAAAAGGTCAGAGAAAGCTGGGGAGGAGGTAAGAGAATTGGGACAACAAAGGCAACACAACGATTTCATTTTTCTCTTAGAAACAAAGGAGCTGTGTTGTTTTGCGAAACAGTTTTGAAAGGTGCTTCATCTGAACCTTTGTCAAAGTAGCCGCACTCCCTTGCAATTTCCACAGCCCTACAAACAGGTCTTTCCTCCTTTTTTCTCAACAACCAGAAACACGCTGCAGGTCTAATGTATAATCATAATAACTATCAGCCATTAAAACTTTATCTTCTATGAATGTATCTAATCACTTTTCTAGAACTATCACAATTGGCAGCAATCACAGTATCTTCTGGAAGCAGTTCTATGTTTTAAATAAGAGCCCTGGGGAAATACAGCTGGTACCTTTGAACAGTCCTGATTAATAATATTTATAATCTCATCATGTTGCCTTCCATTTTATTTATAACGTTGTCAGCTCAGATCAGCCATTCAAAGTTACAATGGCACTGAAAAAAGTGATTTATGATCATTTTTCACTCTTACTACCATTGCCGGTCACGTGATCAACATTCAGTCACTTGGCAACTGGTTCACATTTATGACGGTTGCAGTGTGCAGTCATGACCTTCTGACAAGCAAAGTCAATGGGGAAACCAGATTAACTTAATACGTGCAATGATTCACTTAATAATTGTAGCAAGTAAGTTTGTAAAATGGGGCAACATTCATTTAACAACTGTCTCACTTAGCAATAGAAATTTTAGGTTCAGTTGTGGTCATAGGTCAAGGACTACCTGTACTACCTTTCTTCCTTTAAGAGCTGACCCCACTATTCTGAACAGTTTGGTTGGGCTCTGGCTGCATTTTTTTCCCCGACATAGTAATTTTTACATAATGACCAAAATTTTGCTCAGAAATGTAGATTGCAACTTAAATTAGTAATAATAACAACAGTAATCATGGGCCATCTTAGTGACCATATAAATCGATTTTCTCCAGGATGATCTGTTGCCCACTTGATTCTTCAGGTCTCTCATCACCACTCTTAACTAAATCCATCCACGTTTCTGCTGGTCGTCTTTTCTTTTCCCTTCTACCTTTCCCATCATTTTGGAGTCCTCACGGTGAGCAGGATCTTCACATGTATCCAGAATATAATAATTTGAACCTGGTCATTTTGCCTTAAATGAAAACTTTGGATTGATATTTAAGTGTTAACCAATTTTTTTTTAATTGTGCGCCTTGACTTTTATTAGAAGAACTTTGTATTTTCAGCTATAAGAGTAGGACCATCAGGATAATGCATGTTTCTTCTTCTAATTTTGAAGCCCTGATGATTATATACCAAAGCAGCCCCTCCAATTCGTATTCAGCATATTGGTTGGATACACAAGGGAAGAATAATATAATAATGTAACGTAATATTATGATATGTTATATGATATATGATAATAACATAATATAATATAGTAACGTAACGTAACATAACATAACATAACATAACGTAACATAACATAATATAATAATATGAGAAGCAAAACCTGAAGGCAGGACAAGAAGCAATGAAAGTAAACTAATCAAGGAGAGAACCAGCCTAGAACTAAGGAGAAAGTTCCTGTCAATAAGAACAATTAATCTGCGGACTGGCTTGCCTTTAAAAGTTGTGGGTGCTCCACTACTGTAGGCTTTTAAGAAGAAACTGGACAACCATTTATCTAAAATGGTTTAGATTCTCCTGCTTGAGCAGGGGGTTGGACTAGAAGACCTCCAAGGTCTCTTCCAACTCTATTATTCTGTTAATAAACTCGCTTATCTCACTCCTTTGCTGATCTGAAGCCAGAATTATATTCTGACCAGACTTTTGCTTTCTGTTCTATCTGTAGGTTTTACATGGACATCAATAGTACCAATAGCATATTCTACAGGTGATTGTACAATACGGTGTTTTGTCTTCAGTATATATCAAAATAGGTTTTTTTTAGTCACTTCCAAAGATTTGCATCTTCCTAGACATTTTGCCAAGACTGTCTGCCAGTAACTGCTTCACTGAGTTTTTGTGGTTACTATCAGCTTAGTGAAGTAAATTTGTGAAACATATAGGCACATAGAATATACACTAGTAGAATATACACTAGTAAGCAGAGTTTTACTGTGAGAAATCACCAACATGTTCATTAAACAGTAAAGAATACAAATGTATTGAGGGTATTTTGTACACTGCCTAGAACTCTTCTCACCTAACTGAGCTATGCAATTAACAGGGCCATAGTTTACCAAGTTTACCAAGTCACAATTTGACTGGCACTGCTGAATATGGTTTGAATGATCCATAGTTGGTACAAAACATGAAAAATGAGAATGAGCTTGCAAGAGTGTTTCCTCTGCAATCTGGACAGGATTCAGTAATCAAAGTTCATTACATCTGTGTTGATCCTGTATTTATAAAAGTCAGTGAAGTGTTGCATTATTATATTACATTACTTTAAATAAACCAGAAATGAAAACTCCTTTTCCTACCAGGAATTCCAGAAAGTATTTTTTTTTTCTTTCCTTTCCATCTTCTTTACAGTTTGCAACTACTTGAGGTGGAACAATAATGATAGACTATCCAGCAGGCTTCATGGCTATATTCCAGCAGTTGGGACTTCCACCCAGATTTTCATAGTCTTAACCCATTATTGAATGCCAGCTTTTAATCGGCAACCACACAGGTGGCTTTATGCTCGATTCTTTCTCATTTTCTGCACAGTAATGTTTCTGCTTTTGTGTTTCTTTTTTCTCTTTCCCTTCCTAGTTAATGAAATTATCAGGAAAGAATTTTCTGGACTCCCTGCCAGAAGTCAGTCATAGAAGATGAGATTTATGAGACAACCTTTGCAGAATCCATCCATACCTGACTTCTAAGATTCTTCTCTTGTCCTGCCTGCCTTTTGTTTCCTCAACTGATCATCTCAAGGCACCAGTTCAACACCAGGAACAATGTACTGGCATCCAGCCAACAACTTTGAGTAAGCCACTCAGCACCTCTCATTGTAAACATCAAACAAAATTCTCTTGCTTTTGTCCAAAGATCATGCAGTTCTCATGTAACCTTGCAAGTGCCTGATGCAATTTACTGAGACATCTAAAGATGCGTACATGGACTGGAAATGGCAATGGGGGGGGGGAAGGCATTGGTCCAGAAACTTTTATTGAACTAATGTATAGTTGTGCACATGAATGCATGTTATGGACGCTGGATGAATTTTACAATTGCCAACTCAACAAAAAATAATGAACTAGGTTTCTCAAATGGTCACAATACATAGTCAGAAACAAAATTTAAAACTTCCAGTACTCAAGCATTGAACCCCCCTCCCTTATATGAAAGGGAACAGATCTATGTATGCAACATTATTTTTATTCTTTTTTCAAACAGAAGCATGACCATTGCTCTGCACAGATCCACAGGTGTTTCAAAAAAATAAAAAGAAACCCTCAAAAGGAGGCTGCTGCAATGGAAAATGGATAAAAATCATCTGCTATGGGCACAGCTTCTCGTAAAAATGTAAAGTAGTTTTCTAGTTGTAGCTTTGTCATAACTTTGCTCTATTTTTAGATGCACCAAAGACATATTTTCATTGGACTAGAAAATATATAAACTCAGAACACAATGCAGTCGACAATTAAGCATTTTTTTAAAAAACCAAACAATATCTACAGAAAAATATCTACGTGTATTTGAAACTCTGAATGAATGTTAAAGCTAAAATATTTACGTTTGGCTGAAGTATGCATTCTGTTTCACACTGTTCTATGCAGCATTTCACTGTTCAGTGTACAGATTTGAAACTGATTTATTTTAGATTCTTTCCCATCCATACAAATAACAAAAGGTTTTTTTAAGTAAATCAATTATCTCAATGTGATTTGGAAACTGCTTTTACGATGTTACAGTGGAATTTTTGCAGTTCAAATTGTTCAACTTATGGTAAAAATCACAAGATGGCATAATTATATTCATAGGAAATATGAGATACTAAGTAACTTTATTGGTTAAGCATAGAAATGTTAATGGTTAAAGCAAGTAGGACTTACTGAATTATTCATTGTAGCAGCTATAAAATTATCCAAAAATCTCAGAGCCTCTTTTTATTTGTGCTACAATAAGGTTCTTCCCTTCAGAACGTATTTTTTTCCTACCGAGGATTATCATTGTGTATTCTTGATTTAGATTGTTTTTTTTTACTCTTTTGCCCAAAGTATGTGGTAGTTTCTTTTCTTCATCCCTTGCAAAATTAAAACTGTAGATCAGTCTTGATAACTCACATGGTACAAATTGTTGGAAGTGCATACTTTTCAGGCATATGTAGACTTATCCACATTCCATCAAATAAGATTCTTAAAGAACTGATAAAAAACTAATAAAACTATTGTAATAACCAGCTAACAATTTGATTTTAGTTTCTTGAGGATTGGTAGACAGTCCCAGTGTACAAATTTATAAATGGGCATAGCAAGTAAGATGATAATAGTACATTTGCTATATATGTATCTATGCAATACAAGAAAGCATAGCTCCATTATGGTGGAAACCTTTTGTCCATATTTTTCTAAGCTTGATCCAGAGATGTGAAGTAAAGGGAATAATGAAAAGCAACTGAATTGGAAAGTAATAGAGATAAGTATAAAAGTAATTTTCTAGTGGCAACTAACCTAACTTCTCGAAGTTAAATAAAAACTTTTATTATATGAAACAGTTTTCAGTTTCACTTCAAATTATCCTTTAATGCCAGACCTTGAATACACTTCATAACCATTTTCGCCACTAATTCTCAAATGTTTGTCTAGGTACCTGGATTTCAGACCACAATTGGAATCATTTTTATGCCAAGTATAAAGTACCAAAGAAATTTCCTATTTGAATTTCTTTGCTGGGTTATTGTTCTTCCATGAGAGTACCATCATTTTATACAAATTGTTTACCTTGATCTGCCTAATATGCAAAGAGTTTTAAGGATATGATGCAACCTAGCTTTGGCTTTTAGCTCTAAAACACCAGCTCTAGAAAATAAATTCTTGGCAAATTTAGTAGTATTTTTTGATAAGAAAGTAAAATGTCCTTTGAGTTGAGCTATAATTTCTTTGGCAACAATATACAGGTGACTTGCAATTGCCTTCTATAAGGACATTCACATCCCCAGTAGTAGTAGTAAACCCTTGTGTCCATTTGTTTTTATCTTGGTTTGGTGTGAAACTTACCCTCTCTGACTTATAAATACTGTTTCTTTGTAGAGATGGGTTTGTATATCCCACTAAGTGAAAAACCCAACCAACTACCTAATGGCTCACTATTATTTGTGAACAAAGAATATTCATGTTATTATACCAGTGATTCACTGCGGAGAATGAAAAATATCAGTCCACAGTTAGATCCAGAGCTGTAGTTCTTGCTGATCCAACTATTTGATCAAATGTTCTTACCAGTTTTCTGTAAAGCATACGTAAACATGAAAAGTACTCATAAAGTTCTTAGTTCTCTTTCATTTCCTATGGATTGAAACCATAAGGAATTACAACAGAACAGCCATACTGCTTCTCAGCAATATCTAAAAAAAAATAGAGCTTTTCAGGTGCAGCATTGTATTCTTTGCATCTTCCTTATCTGCTGCATTATATGTTCATTTATGTGTAGTATAGCCTACATATTTTAAAAAATTTATACATATATGTATGTGTATATGTATATATATAATGACTACGTGTTTGCAAGCTATCCTACTGTGTCTGATTTAGAATATTTAGCAAGCAACCATTTGCCCATATTAAGCCTTAACCAAATATATATTTCTCAAGCAAAGACATTCCACTATAGATGTTTGTCATAAAGAATAACTGGATACATTTAAGATAGTGCAGGTAATTCTGAAATGTTCAGTGAATGAAATTATTTATTTTGGTTTTTCAATAGATCTACAGTGTTAACATTTGTAAACTTTATGTAAACTTTTTTTAATTATTACTTTGACCTAAAAAAACATAAGGTTTGCCTTGGACAATAAACTGCCTTGTGTGAGTAATTTGTTCTCAGTTTATCTGGAAGACAGCCATAGCTGCACATGAGGAGATTCTTCTATTTTTTCCTCAGTTATCTGAAAGCTTCATGACAAGTGCCTTCCTGTCATTGTACCAAAAGACCTCACAAAGCATTGTCTAACAACTGTAACGCATTTTCCATTAGTGTTTTATTATGCTAAAGTCAAAGCAGTTTATTGTAACTCAGTGGCATTTTTTTTTCAACATTATTTTTTCTTAATCACAGCTTAGACCTACATATTACAGGATGAGCTTCTGTAAACTTTTGCACTAAATAGATGAAGTCGTCCATCTTAATATGTAAACAGTCAGATGGTGTTGGAGAGGCAACTGATGCTAGTAAGAGCATTTCATCACTTTGGAATGCATTTGTTATTAAAGAATACCAAAGAAAAACTGCACCTGAGAATATTTTGTGATTTGAATGGATATGTTTTTATTGTGAAGAATTCTTTTTGTCTTTTTGCTTCCCTCTAATTTTTATTCTGGGTGTCAGAGAAACGTAGGCTTATTTGAATAATAGTAATACTGAGATGGAAAAAAATATCAAAATATTTATGCCTTGCATTTGGTTAATACTGACCTGTGGGCTCAATCCAAACTGAAGCACTTTTCCATGAATCTTTTGCTAGATAGTAATTCAATATAATAATGTGTTACTTTATTCTGTTTGACATCTGGTCTTCTTGTCTAATAGATATGTAATATAGAAAGCATAATTCCACTGAATTTAGAGAGGAAATATCTGAAGTTGTATTTTAACTCAGGGATTCTCAAATGTGATTCTACACCTCCCTAAAATAATACATGAAGTTGAATAACTAAATGAATAAAACAAATCCATTGTTAGGAGTTAGGGTTGGGCAAGAAATAAATACCCCACTTAGCTAAAAAAATATGTCATTTTCATCATAAATGTTTGACTTAAATTTTAATTGGATGAGCACTATGGCTAGGTTGATCATTTTTAATGCTTATCTTCCCACCCAGCAAAAATTTCCATTTTAAAAGGCTAGAAATTGAACATAATGGGTAAAAGTATTGAAATTTACTATAGTTACACCCAAATTACAGATATTCTATTACACACTATATGGAAAGTCCCCACTTGGCAAGAATTAATCAGCTGCTTTGATTGGCAAATGGTGCTGACGGTTGGCTAGACCCACAGATTTAGCTGTCCTGGGCTTTTCTCTCAGGCAAAGCAGAAATGAGCATTGACAGCTCTCCTGTTCACTTTGTCTGGGCAAGTCTGATCAACTAAAAATGTTGTACTCCCCCCCCCAGAGGTTCATAATCCACCCTTTGAGAATCCCTGTTTTTTCTCATACATTAGCAGTCGCATGAGAACATGCACATGTCTTTGGCTTGATTGGACTCTGCACATCTATGCATCTTGTTTGCAATGTATCACATTATAAACATTTGCAAGGAGAGCATTAGATTATATAGAAAAGCTGCTTCTTGACTATTGTTTTCAACCCATTGTCGGAATTAGCTAGCCTCTTGTATTTTGGGGGGTGGGGAATGGGGGTGTTATATATATTGTACTATAAGATTTTTTTTTAAAAGGAAAAATTGTCTAAGATATTTTCTGGTTGCTACAAAGAATGAGACGGCTCCATGGTGGTTATTTCTAAATAGTGAAGCCTTCAGAAATGTTATTCTGTGGAGGCAAGTACTGTTGAACTCACTGAGTGAACTCTTGGGCTTATGGAGAGCAGTATGTGAGGAAGTTCCCTCAGGGTTTCTTAAATAAATTCTTTCCTTACCAGCTGCTTCCCCTCATGCTCTCCCAGAGAACCAAATAAGGGTTGGACAAAAGACTTAACACCGCTTCCTCAAATGCTGTGATTTTTTGAAACCCCAAAAACCAGTCCTGTAGACTCATAACGTATGTGGCCTTCACAGATGCTTTGGTGCCTATTTGATATGATCCATGAATCATCCTTTATCGTGCTACATTGGATGATGAAGGAACATAAGTACACAAGCAGAGAAACTGCATTTTGTTTTCTAATTTCAGCTGCGCTAACTTGCAACTGTCTGTTGTCTGCTTCACCGGCCAAATTAATAATCCTGCTTATAAAATTTTTGTTTATTTCTGAATAGTTGTATATAACAAATTTAACAAGCTGGTATCTGCATCTCTGGATTTCCAGGGCATTGTGCATAATGATGAAGGAAGTGCTGAGAGCAATTGTACAGATTCATTTAGGCCAAAATTGTATTATGCCAAGGGAACCCTACAGTCCTCTTGCACAGGGCCTGTGACAGACTGAGAATTTTGACAATCACAGTTTTTCTTTAAAAAAAAAAAAAGTCCTCACAATTTCGCATATGGGTACCTGAAAATGTGTTGACAAAAAAAGATCAGAAAGGAAGATGCAATAAAAAGGGTGTATAAACATATCCTAACATTCTGCATGAGGAAAAGGACTGTCATAATTAGTATACTGTATATCAGTGCTTCTCAACCTTGGCAACTTGAAGCTGTTTGGACTTCAACTCCCAGAATTCCCCAAGCAGCACAGCCAACTCTTCAAACTGCCAAGTTTGAGAAACAGTGCTGTAAATAATAAGCACAATAAATTGCAATCCATAGTTGTCGTTGTTTTAAATCAGATAACTGGTGTCTCAGGAATGTGGTCATTATATACCCTACCAATAGACGGTTAATTTTTGTGTTTCAGGAAATGAAATGCAAGTTGTGTTCTGCATATAATTATTCAGCTCGTGTTGTATGTATCCTCATTCTTGTTCGTTCCTGATATCACTTGCCATCAAATGGTGAAAAAGAATGTGGAATGTAAAATATATCAAAAGGAAGTCTACTGTTATTTTCTCCCCTGCCCCCATCTCACTGTCTCTCAGTTCAGCAGCTTTGAAAGGTTTCAGTGAATTACCAAGCACCACTTGGAATTGCTAATGAAAAATGTGGATTAGCATCAGGTAACAACCCAAAGTATCTGAGGTGTGTGTGTGTGTGTGTGTGTGTGTGTGTGTGTGTGTGTGTGAGAGAGAGAGAGAGAGAGAGAGAGAGAGAGAGAGAGAGAGAGAGAGAGAGAGAGAGAGAGAGAGAGAGAGAGCGCATTGGTCCTTTGGTAACTTTGATCCATTAAGACCATGCCATTAAATTCCAGCTGCTGCATGTCAAGTGTGAGATTTGCAATCCTATCCTTCTTGTGGGCTTCCCAGAAATATCTGGCTGACCATTGCGGGAACAGGAGGCTGATCAGATGGCGCTCTTCTCAAACGACACCAAAGATTTCTGATTTTCCAAATCCGTCAGCCAAATCAATGAACTGTATACCTCCAAATTAAAAAAAATGTATACATCAAAATTGTACATTTGGCTTAAAATAATTCTTTGCTTCTGCTTCCTAATCATCAACATGTTTTACAAGCAGGGATTCAAAACTAACGTTTAAACTAAACTGCCCTAAGAAGCAATTCAGCATGGAGAAATGAGGTTTGTTTGGATTGCAAGGAAGTCAAAATGAACATATATTTCCAAGTGTGGCAAGGTAAATAGTCAGCCTGGGTTGCAGCTAGTCATGTCTGCTTGTTGCAGTCACAGGGTCATCAACCTAAATGCAAAGCAGCTTTATTGCTCAAATATTAACATATGACTAAACTGCTCGCTCACCTATTTTTAACTAAAAAACCAAAAAGCCCCACAAGAATGGTGGGTTGTATCTGTTATATTGCCCTCTGTTGTGTTTTAATCTCAAGTTTAATTGTGATTTTGCTTTTTTGTAAAATATTTTTATACAGCTTGTATTATTAAGTTCAGCAATAAATTGGAGGACAAACAGCTACTTCCTTTGTTCTTTTTCTTTGTATTTCATTGCAGTTAAAAGAAAGATTATTATGATCCAAGGAACAATGTCGGTAGGAACACTGGACCTATTTTTCTGGGGCTCTAATCACTCCATGTATGACAGTCAGCCTGATCCAATTAAACCATTCACTTAACCATGAAGCAAGAACTTAATGGGGTGTGATCTGGACTAAATGTGCTCAACAGTTCCCTTGATAGTCAAGCCCCTAAATCTCCCCCTTAAAGCAAACTGTTGTGCAACCATATTTCATCAAGTAGGGCTGAGCTGGGGGATCATTTACCTAACCAGTTATTATCTGGAGGCTGACTGCAAACCCTTTGTAGACTTTTTACTGAAAATGGGAAAAAATGAATTGCTGATTAAAAAGATTTGTTTATGGAAGAAGCAAATGATGGAAGGGTGAAGTTGCTAACTGCTATGTTTCCTGCAGAGTAGATGGGAAGTCACTTCTCTAGATAATTTTCTTTTTCTTGCTTTTTTGTTATTCACATTTTCTTTTATCCTTTAATAATCTTTTTCTATTCCATCTTTATGTATGTGGTTTTTTCTAAATATATTCATAAAATAAGTAATACATTTATATTGCTGCCTAACTCACAAACAGTAAGAGATCTGAGCTGGTTATTCTCTTTTAGCCCAACCAACTTCATGGAATTGTTTTATGGAATGAAGATCTCCTTGCACGTTGTCCTGAGCTGGACAAATTTGGGAAATATGTCTAATAAATAAAGAGACAGTGTTATGAAGGGATTTTGTTTTATTTTAAATGGACAAAAGTCCATTTTATCAGATGCATAGAGTGTTATTAACTCCAAAACATTTCCTGTGGGAGAAGCTGAGTTAGTCGATACCCCACACTCAATCCTTACTTGATGTTAGCTGGTTGGTAATGAAATGTCTGCAAACAAACAGCCAAAGTCAGCACCAAGGACTCCAGAGTTCAATCCTCTGATACATACCATATATTCTCTTTGTGTTGGAGTCTTTCACAGTGTGATGTTAACATGCTATCTGCCCATCCTTGAGTGTGCAAGATTGTCAGTATGACACTTGCTTTCTTTGCTTCAGATCACCACCTTATCCTGCCTCTGTTCCCAGTCAATTCTAGCCCATTAAAGAAAGTAATGGGTGACAAAGCCTAATGCATTTTATATGCCTTGGTCATAGAATAAGGAAGCAAACCCTATATTAACACCAGGACTGCTGTGGATAACTCTCATCCATTGTTGAAGACAACATCAATAGGCAAAGGGGAGAATAAGTGGGATATTTTTGCCCTATTTGGGCATAAAAGAGGATATGGCAAAACAATCTTATGGAAATGAGGTTTCACATGCTTTCTTGAATTACATATCAGCATAATTCCAAGAAAGATGCATTCCATATGCAACTCTTGGGAAGATGAGGAATGCATAGAGTAAGGAAAGAATACAAATAGAGACCATGATTTACTATCACCCTGCATACACTATATAAGCATCCGGCTGACTTGCTAAGCACACACTCTCCATATAAATTTATAAGCCGCCCCACTCCTGAAGGACTCTGGGTGGCTAACAATAAAAAACACATAAAACATAACAAAACAACAATACAAAAACAATCATCCAGGGGTAAGGTTTTATAAACCCCAGGCCTGCCGGAAAAGCCAGGTCTTAAGTAGCTTATGGAAGACCAACAGGGTGGGAGCAGTCCTAATCTCTGGGGGGAGCTGATTCCAAAGCGTGGGCGCCATCACAGAGAAGGCCCTCCTCTGCGGCCCCGCCAAATGGCACTGCTTGGCCGACGGGGCCTGAAGGAGGCCCAGCCTGTGGGATCTAACCAGACATAGGGAACTATGAGGTAGTAGGCGGTCTCGCAAATAGCCTGGCCCTGAGCCATATAGGGCTTTAAAGGTAATGACCAACACCTTGAATTGGACCCGGAGACCAATAGGCAACCAGTGCAGCTCACAGAGGATAGGTGTAACGTGGGTGTAAAATTTTACTTCTCCTTGTACAGGTAGTCCTCAATTTATGACTGTTTAGTGACCATTCAAGTTACAACAGCACTGAAAAAGTGACTTATTTTGCACACTTACAACTGTTGCAGCGTGGTCACATGATCGAAATTCAGATGCTTGGCAACTGACTCATATTTATGATGGTTGCAGCATCCCGGGGCCATGTGGTCACTTTTTGTGACCTTTTGACAAAAGCAAAGTCAATGGGGAGGCCAGATTCACTTAACCGTCTAACTAACTTCGCAATTGCAGTGATTCACTTAACAACTATGGCAAGAAAGATCATAAAATGGGGCAAAACTGACTTAATAACTGTCTTTCGCTTAGCAACAGAAATTTTGGGCTCAATTGTCATTGTAACTCGAGGACTACCTGTACTTTTTCCCCTTCTGCTTCTCCACACTCCCCACAACAGTGTCAGTATATAATATGCAATATTCCTCTCAAGTTCATACGGCATGCATTTGGTAATGTTAGCTATGATTCACAAAACCTTATACCATGATAAATGGATAAATCTTTCCTGCATAAAGGAAGAAGAGCTTTTCTTTTGGAATTAACAGCTTCCTTCGTTTAAGAAACAGTCATCTGAAAAGGAAATTCTGTGCAATCTTGCCTCCTTGTGCAAAGCCACTGATATGTAGGTTCTCCTCTGACAACCCCAAATAAATTCGTGTTAACATGCCACACACTGAGTAAAGTTTTCCCACTTCAGCAATGACACAGATGGCCATATTTCACATCAACTGGTGCACATCGTTAACAAGAGAAAGAAACCTCAAGATCTGGCAAATTTTAAGGCAGAGAGAGAGAGAGAGAGAAATAATGAACTACAAATTTAGTCCCTCTGCCATTTGCTCAACAAATATCCAAGATAGCAACATATCCTTTTGGGAACAAGCTGGATACATAGCAAATAAGCAAATATTTTTTATAATAATAAATTTATATGGCATCATTAACATGCATAGCAAGTAAACAGGCTAATGACCCCAAAAGGCTTAATAAACTCAACAACAGAAGCAAGGGGGGAGGGATGAAGATAGAGGCAAATAAAAGGAATGTATCAATGTTTCAAGTCTCTCAATACAATTTGCCTCAGAGGATGGTAATCTTTCCCACTCTATTGATATCCAGATATATTGGAACTATAGTTCCCAGAATTGATCTTAGGCACTGGGAATTCTGGCAGTTGAGATAATAATCCATTTGGAAGCTGAGTTTAGGAATCCTGTAGCTTGTTTCAAATATTTTCTGGGGAAAAATGGATGCTGGGAGGAATTTTATAACAACATGCAGATGTGTAGAGATGGTCCTTAAAAAACATGGAGCACTCTTCCAAACACACCTCCAATCATATCTATTAAAATTCCCTAAGTTTGCCTTCAGAATAATGGGTGGTCAAAGTGTCACAGATATTACACATGTTGAGACCGACCTTGGGCAGTATGGGAATAATAGAAGAATAAGTACAGCTGTATATCAGGACATCTAATTTTGACTTGTGATTGTCTCACAGTTGGCCTGGGGAACCCAATGGTGCTTTTTTTCAAGAGGCAACGGGAATTTCTTGTTTTTCTTTGAAGACATTTCACTTCTCATCCAAGAAGCTTCTTCAGCTCTGAATGAGATGAGGTTCTTGGATGAGAAGCGAAACATTTTCAAAGAAAAACAAGAAAGTCCAGTTACCCCTTGAAAAAAGCATCTTTGGGACAACCATGACCTGGATGACTGAGAATCTCCACAGACCTGGCCTGGGAAAGAAGTAACCCAATGTCATGGAACTAAGGTGAAGATTTTGGACTACAGATAGTCCTCCACTTATGACCACACTTAAACCCAAAATTTCTGTTGCTAAGTGAATTTTGTCCAATTGTATGGCCTTTCTTGACAATGTTGTTAAGTGAATCACTGCAGTTGTTAAGCTACTAAAACAGTTGTTAAGTGAATCTGCCTTCCCCGTTGACTTTGCTTTTGTCAGTAAGTCACAAAATGTGATCATGTCTCCAGAACACTGCAGCCATCATAAATATGAGTCAGTTGCCAAGCGTCTAAATTTTGAATATATGACCCTGGGGATGCTGCAAAAGTTGTAAGTGTGAAAAATGATCATAAGTCACTTTTTAAAGTGCCATTGTAAGTTCAAACAGTCACTAAATGAACTATTGTAAATCGAGGACTATCTGTATTAAAATAAATGCTATTATGAACATGTCTTCTTTTTCATTCCAGGTCCATCACAGTCGCAACAAGTTTGGGAGACTATTAGGGAAAATGATCCACATCATTGAATAAAATCTATTAGGATGTTTTCTGCATAAGGCCCATCTTTATTTCATACTTTCCCCTGTGAACTGTAGTTTTTGTCATTTCTACACTCCACTTCATCCTAAAGATTTGCATGTGCGGACAGATAATTAATCAATATTCCTTGTAGTTGCCCAGAAATCTCCAACTTCAGTTTGTTAGAGGATGTGGGAGGATTAGTATTGTTTATGAAGAAGAAAGTCATTGTTATGGCAGAAAACATGAGTCAGTTCAGCCTCTAAAAGGGTACAGCTGGGGAGAATCAGTGGCCAGAAATGCCTTGCCATGCATTTGCTCCTTTTGGAAAGAAAAAGAAGAAGAGGGAGAACAAGGAGTGCGTAGGAAACAATGGGGCTTCTCAGTTGCCTAGTGACTGACTGTTATAGCAACAGTCTCTACTGTGTAGAAAAGAACAGGATTTGTGAATGAGATCTGTAGTGAGGCTCGCTCAATTGATATCAGTCCCACTTAGTCATGCATGAGTCAAGCAGACTCTTCACAAAAGCAAATGGAGAATTGCCCAACATATGTATGGACAGCTGCTTCAACGTTCAAAGGAACCCAATTAAGAATTCCCATCAGGAATGCTGGTTAAGCAAAACAAAGAGCCAGGGATCAAGCTAGGATGATACAAAATCTTGTCAAATAGTCTATCTTGCCCATGAAA